AAAACTGAATAATATTTTTAGATTGACATCTATTTAATCAGGAGGTTTTTTTTTTGTAAATGTTCACATCTTTAAAAGCTTTTTCTTCGAAATAAGCAATTCACAACATGTATATATGTAAAGCACTACTGAAATGTCAGTCTGCCAGAAAATTGTAAATAAACGCAAATGAACACCCATCAATAAAACAAATAAAGTATAAAAAGTATCACAGTTGTACAGCATCCTACAGACGATCAATATCAAGAATAACAAGCGTCCGTTCAAAACAGATCGATTCATCTAAAATGAAGAACCAATCTTGTTATTATTAGAAAAGCTGTTTTTTTCAAGGATTTATAAGTTTAGTCCAGTTTTTACATTAGTTTCATTTTACACCATTCTAGTATAAGCTGTACTTTTTAGCGACTGCAGGAATATTTGAGAGTTTGTTTCGGTGACCGGTTGCCGGCGATTCCGACGGCGTCAGACGCCGGCAGACAATAACGACAACCAGTTACAACGATAATAAGTACAGCGGGCGCTTTCCTGCTATAAATGTTATTGTGGCTCAGTCCACTCGGTCCATAGCACACTTCAATACGGGGTTTCCTCACCCACATATCGTGTATTTCAAAAACCGTTTTCATCGGTTTTCCCTACAAGATCTGAGTCATAGGATCTCGGCTGCATTTGATGTCGGTCGAAATCTAGGCCAAGGGTAGTATGTTTTAAGAAAAAATATATAATGTATCTCCTGGGGTAGGCAATCCGGCATTCCAAAGGGGATTCGCCCGCCTAAGTTTCAGGACTTGAAGGGGTTTTACAAAAGAAACCTTTGAAATGACGTCAACATTTGTCCCCCTTGCGGGACAAATGTTGAAAATCATATTTGTAAGATAAATCAAAGATTCACAACATTAGTCATACAAGGTGAAACTGGCAGTACGGCAAAATTTAATTTCGTGAAAAGATTCAAGGTTTCTTATGTGTATGAAGTCACATAGAAATTGGCTTTCCATATTTGAACCCCACCAAGATTCGAACCCGTTCGAACTCAAAATCCAGTGGTCTTTTAAAACGATTCAGTTGGCAACCTTTTGGAATTTAATTTCCCGGAATCCCACAGGATCCCGAAACTTTTTTACTTTGAAAAATTCTTTTGAAGATAGGGAGCTCGTTCAACAATTTGCACAAGGGCGTTAATGACCCTTCGACAAAGTTATTCCCTTTTCCTCACACAAATTTCACTTGGTATCATTTGTTGGACAAGTCCAGAATTTTCGAGACAGGAAGTTGGTTAAAATGCCTCTTTTTCCAACTGTTCAAATGTTTGTTGCCGGATAAAATTCAGATATGGTTTAACCTTTTCCAAACGGTCCCTTTAAACTGCTTGGGGTTGGTCAAAAAGCGATTCTCAGGAAGGGTGAACGTTCTCCCCCCTGTTAATATGGATTCGGTTTTACGTTTATTCGTAATTTACGGGTAAAATAACACTGATTTCAGTAAAAATCCGCCCCTGAACAGTCAAATAAAATTTTAGACAATAACAACTCCCTTAACGGTCCATGGAACAAGTAATCTTGTGCTAAACATAAACTTCAGGCGGAAGAAAGAACAAAAATAACGAAATAAACAATGTTAAAATATTCCTTTTGTCGGCCATAATTGGAAAAATAAAACAAATTTATACACAACCCTTTCAATTCGTCTCGGACTGGCCCGCATTATCGGCTATTTTAAAGACACGGGAGGCGTATTTCAGATAACACCGCTTTAGCTTGAATCTATTTTTAGCCCAATTTACGGCACTAAACGTTATTTTTATAGAATCTTTTAATGCGACCTCGGAATGGAAATAAATTATATAGTGTCACATTAAAACTTGATATATTTGTTGAATTTGAGAGGGGTGGGGGAGGGGTTATACATAGTTACAAATTTAAAATACAATACGTTGTAGCATGTACAATATCTATACATTTTAACATAGTATGGAAGATAAACTTAAATCCAAATAAATCAGCTTTGAGTCCTTCATTTCGATTATCTACGGGGGGTGATAACGGATTTTTTTTCTCATTAAAAAAATCTTTATATTATCAGACAGATTTGAAAAACACATTTTCAGTAAAAGTTCATGGTAGTGATATAAGCCGGATAAAGGATGCAAAGGTATGTAAAACAAATAAAGTTAAAACTGTGCACATGCGTTTTAATAGTAATTCTATTGAATGCATGCGTACGGCATCAAAATATTATAATTACAAGAAGCATATAAACTATTCAGGTAAAGGGTGCAATCTTTTTTTTTTTTTTTAAAAAATTGTGATACACGAAGCTCTCTAAATCGGTTACTGATGTATCATGTCAAAATGTTAAAACCGTTAAAAGTTCGCATTATGCCCGTACAATGATAATGGTAAGTGAACAGGTAAAAATCAAAGTTGACCATAAAAATTTCACCATAATTGTGTTCGGTCTTATATTTTACTAAAAAAAAAATATAATGCATGTTTTACTCGTGGTACTATGTTTGCATGTTTAAGTATGAAAATATGTCTTATTTAAAAAAAAAACGTGCGAGAACAAAATGTTGACCGTGTCGGGGGAATAGGCTACGGCGAGTTATATACCTTTTATATATTTTTATATAGTAAACGGGTAGTAATTTTGTTCTTGATAATCAAAAGGGGTGATTATTTTTATGAATAATTTGACCATTATTGGCATGGCAAATGTACGCGAACGCGCTGTGCTATTATCATTAAGTTACACTGAAAATGGCGGGGCCCACCTAGAACTGACACTGAAAATTCCATTAATAGGTATATATTTCTATATGCATTTTTTATTTTTTTATATTTGATTTTCTTTTAAATATACACGTGTAGTCTATAGCCGGGCAAGAAAAAACCCGAGGTCCCGCTTCGCGGTCCCGGCCTTTAACTTCCCGTATTACCAATGCGAAAATATCGTTGAAGTAATCAATATGACCATCCAGGAAATTATAACTTGCAATGAAGTTAAAGCGGCCTTCAGCTTATCTCAAGGTTAAACATTTTATTTTTTAATGTAATTAGATAAGATGTTTTTCATGTTTAATAATTACAGGTAACATGCGTTGGGGGTGTAATTGATTACCTACAATTACTTATTATTGGTGATACATTCGGAAGCATGTACATCTCAAGTTTAGATTGCACTTTATTCAGGTACTGTGGCAGGTGACCTCCATACACGGGTTTACGCCTTTATTTTACCCAAGACAAACTATTTATTGGTGAAATTGATTGATCCCTTTAAAAAAATTGGTTTGCCTTCACCTCAAATGACATTATCGGCTATTTTAAGACACGGGAGCGTATTCAGATAACACCGCTTAGCTTGAATCTATTTTTAGACAATTACGCACTAACGTATATTTTATAGATCTTTAATGCGTCGAATGAAATAAATATATAGTGTACATTAAAACTTGATATATTTGTTGAATTTGAGAGGGGGTGGGAGAGGGGTCATACATAGTTACAAATTTAATACAATACGTTGTAGCATGTACATATCTATACATTTTAACATAGTATGGAAGATAACTTAAATCCAAATAAATCAGCTTTTGAGTCCTTCATTTCGATTATCTACGGGGTTGATAACGGATTTTTTTTCTCATTAAAAAATCTTTATATTATCAGACAGATTTGAAACACATTTTCAGTAAAAGTTCATGGTAGTGATATAAGCCGGATAAAGGATGCAAAGGGTATGTAACAAATAAAGTTAAAACTGTGCACATGCGTTTTATAAAGTAATTCTATTGAATGCATGCGTACGGCATCAAAATATTATAATTACAAGAAGCATATAAACTATTCAGGTAAAGGGTGCAATCTTTTTTTTTTAAAAATTGTAATACAAGAAGCTCTCTAAATCGTTACTGATGTATCATGTCAAATGTTAAACCGTTAAAAGTCGCATTATGCCCGTACAAGTGATAATGGTAAGTGAACAGGTAAAAATCAAAGTTGACATAAAATTTCACCATAATTGTGTTCGGTCTTATATTTTACTAAAAAAAAAATATAATGCATGTTTACTCGTGGTACTATGTTTGCATGTTTAAGTATGAAAATATGTCTTATTTAAAAAAAAACGTGCGAGAACAAAATGTTGACCGTGTCGGGGGAATAGCTAGGCTACGGCGAGTTATATACCTTTTATATATTTTTATATAGTAAACGGGTAGTAATTTTGTTCTTGATGATCAAGGGGTGATTATTTTATGATAATTTGACCATTATTGGCATGGCAAATGTGCCGAACGCCTGTGCTATTATCATTAAGTTACACTGAAAATGGCGGGGCCCACCTAGAACTGACACTGAAAATTCCATTAATAGGTATATATTTCTATATGCATTTTTTATTTTTTTTTTATATTTGATTTTCTTTTAAATATACACGTGTAGTCTATAGCCGGGCAAGAAAAAACCCGAGGTCCCGCTTCGCGGTCCCGGCCTTTAACTTCCCGTATCACCAATGCGAAAATATCGTTGAAGTAATCAATATGACCATCCAGGAAATTATAACTTGCAATGAAGTTAAAGCGGCCTTCAGCTTATCTCAAGGTTAAAAATGTTATTTTTTAATGTAATTAGATAAATTGAGTCGTGTAGTTGTCAAATCAAAATAATTATGATGGAAAATGAAATTTGCTGACGATAAAATTCGTAAAAAATAAGGACACCCCTCGATACTTATAATCACCCGGTGTCCGCTCTCTTTATTTAAATTGTTAAAGAGAGTTCATTTCCCTATCTTATAAATAGATTTATGGGACGTTGATTTGAAGAATGCTTAAAAGTGATATAATGTACTTTTCCGAGATTAAATTACCGAAATTTAGTTTGAAACAACACAGAATTGATTTTCCAACAGAAAATAAAAGCTGAAGGTCGCTAAACATTCATATGCATTATAATTATAAGTATTGATATGCACATTTCGTTACATGAAAACACATAATTTATATATTTTATTTAAAATATAAATATATTCTATTAAATCAAAGCTTTAGTATGTAACAAAAATAACCAAAAAGAAAACTGAACAAAGCACTAGAAAACATTATATATGTAAACCGGGTTCTAATCGAACATATCCATGAGTAACTTAGAAGCCATCTTGAGATTTTTTGCTGCTATGTCTTCTATGTTTTCTTTCTTTTGAATGTCTGCGTTCGTTTGTGTCTGAAACTCTGCGTTCGTTTGTATCAGAATATCCGCGTTCGTTTGTATCTGAATATCTGCGTTCGTTTGTATCTGAATATCCGCGTTCGTTTGTATCTGAATATCTGCGTTCGTTTGTATCTGAAGATCCGCGTTCGTTTGTATCTGAACGTCTACGTTCGTTTGTATCTGTATATCTGCGTTCGTTTGTATCTGAACGTCTGCGTTCGTTTGTATCTGAAGATCTGCGTTCATTATAGTCTGAATGTCTTTTATCATTATAAACGTCTGCTGTACCAGGTGACCTGGCTTCCCTTACTTCTCCATTTCTAAAATCTGTCTTTTTATTTTTATGACTCTTACGTTTTTTACTTTTCTTTTTGTCTCGATGTTCAGCATAAGAATTTTCATTTACAGATTTAAACACATCTGTATTGGCATTAGTTAACGGCGGCAATCTCGATGGTTGATATGTAAAGTTATTGCCCTGGTCGGGAGGTATTCTTCTTGACGATCGGTTAATATCTGGGAGTACAGCATTAGATCTAATGCCACCATGCTCTTCGATATAACGCGTCGGTTCAACTCTGTTGGAATATATACTTGAAGCTTTAAATTTTTCATTCATAGGGGCGCGAGATTGGTCAAACGACCGGCGAGCGTTCCTTGAGATCTCAGAATCCTTGTCATCTTTCATCTGTGAGATAAAATAAAATGAACTCATGTTGCAAATATGTAAATATGTATGTATTTCTGTAAAATTTGATATAGATACATGAGCGCTTTCTCTAGAAAGAGACAAAATAAAAAAGTCACAATAACTGACTATTTATCAATGCATTTAGTCTTCAAAGATTCGTGCCGACTATTTTTATTTAAGAATTATGTTGATTTTGTTGATATGCACAAAATGGTAATAAATTATAAAATTATATCATATATTTCATTAACTTTGCAACGTCATTATTCAATTATGAATAATTATATATTTTCAAAACTATAGATATATTTTCTCAAGTTTGATGGGTTCAAAATTGTTGTGGACAGTCCAAAAATCAAAGGCTTCAATGTACCATAAAGACGGATAAAAACAACACTTAGTTTAAAGATATGTACGTCTTAAGTAATATTTCGTCGTTGCTGAAAGGTTGTGCTCGAGAGAGGTTAAAATAATTCTGAAAAATTGATGTTGTCGTTGTAAAAAAAGTGATCGGTCTGCACAGGTTTTCAGTATAAATCAACATATAAAAAATCAAGTTCATCCCTATAATGCGAGTACTGATAAAAAAACGAAAAGGACAAACGGTAGGTAGCTTACTAATGTCGAGATTTTCCGTTTTCTGTCATCATTTCGTTTCTTACGCTTCACAAGGTAGCACACCATAACCACAAAAAGTAACACAAGTAGTAGCCCGACTGCAATCCCGATTATAAGAGCAATGCCTGGACCTATGAAACAAAAACTTGATATCACTATAAACTTTTTGCGGAAAACGTTGCTATTTTTTTTTAGTACACAATCAATTCTTAACATTTTTAAATTAAAATTGATTCTGATACAAACAAGCAATACTTATTCTAGTAAAAGAGTAACTTTATTCTATGAATATGTTTTATGATATAATTATCATATGGTTTATAATTTATATGTGTATATATGTAAATATACCACTTTGCTTACATTTTACTACTTTAATGACAAATAGTTTCATATTCAGCGCTGTTTTCATCAGATGACAATCACCTAACATGCTCTTAAAGCTCTAAAACTATTATTAAATGTTCTAAATTTCATAGTTGACCTTTCTAAAGAATGAAAAATGTATTCGTTTCTAATCCACGCATAATTTGCCATTAAGAGATGTTAATTATAGAAATAAATCAGGCGCTCAACGTCAGACTGTCAATTTTGTATGCAGCAGTTTAAGTAAAACAGAACAGTTTTTACCATTCCTTGGTTTTGAATTGGTACTCTTTCTAGTCGATGGTCCGGGGTTTTGCGGTACTGTGGAGACAATTGGTGCGACCGGTGAGCTGGTGTCCTCCTCAATGTCCTCCGGACCATATACCTTACAGCTGATTGTCAAAGAACTTAGATTCATTGCTGAAATAAACAAACACAAGTGCTAACTCAACGAATTCACGTTAGGTTTAAACCCAATCCAGCCTGATTTTGTTTGATAGATTTGTTCAGAGTATTTTTTAACTCGTCAACTGTTGATTAATAATAAATAATAGTTATGCAAGACTTGATTTTGAAAAAAAAAATATTATAAGAATCGTCTGATTATGAATAGAATATTTTATACTTTTAAATCATCCCCAACACTTATCAGACGTTATGTTTTCAAACGGATATACTACGATTGTATAGTACTAATATTTTCGGCAAACTTCGGTAATTTTCGTAATTTACACACATGACAATAAAAATGATTGGCTTTAAATGTTGTTATTGTTACTGATTATATTATTGTGTAGGACATCACTAGTGACGAAATATGAATATGTTTCACAAACTAATTACTTAACACAAAAACAATATATCATCTCCGTAGTTTTGTTTACTAAATACATAATAGTTTATAAGAGTAACTGTCTTAACATTCAAAATCTTCCACGTAAGCAGTTATTAACCCTAATTATTTTGAGAAGAAAATACACAATATGCTATAAACAGATCATAAATTGTAATTTATTTTCATAATTTATTGCAAGAAGTTTTTATTTCTTTAGCAGCTATCAACTATTTTTATGAAGATATACAGATGGTATACATTTATAATATTAGCTATAAAGATTTTTGACATGTTATATGGCCCTATATAAACAGCTGTTTGGAAATATAACCTGGACCGCTTGGCGAGGGTTATATTGCAAACAACCGTTTATATACGGTCATATAACCTGTCAGGAATATTTATGACGAATTTATAATAATACAAACTTCTTTTTTTTTCAGAAAAAAAAGTTAGATTTCTTAGAAAATTGACAGGAGCGTGTATAAAAAACTATATGAGCTGTGTCATGACAAAACCAACATAATGGTTTTTCGACCAGCATGGATCCAGACCAGCCTGCGCTGTAACACCGCAAAACGTCCGTATCGCAAAACGTACGCGTGTGGACGTTTTGCGGCGCATATCGTACACATGTGGACGTTTTGCGGTGCATATCGTACTTGGTACGTTTTGCGGCGAGAGTGTGCCTTTGCGTCGCATATCGTCCATATTTTTTGTATTAAATTATATTCATTATAAACGTTATTTTTATTGGTTCTGTCACTTTCATATTGTTTCAGGTAAAGATATGACGAAATAAACATTAAGTGCAATATTTTTGTGATCCTATATAATTCTGACTTTTTACATTTAAAAAAGAAAGAAATATGTTTAAACCGAGGATGTTTTTCGAGTAAATCTTTTTATCACACACCCGTGCCGATTTTGCGACTCCGTAAATATGGTATTGCACGGCCGACCATATGTTTTGACTTGAAGTCATTTGCGTTATAAAAACATTGCACAAACGTCCTAAATATTAACGTTACCTTATAGGTGTGTCATTGAAAAAATGATTCTTTTTTCCCTTCGAACGGTCTTTATTTTGGTATGTGATAAATAAAATATTAAATTCGTGTAAGTTCATTACTGAATTTATTGCACTCGTTGAATAAAATAATATTATGCTCGCCAGAGGCTCGCATAATATAATTTTATTCAACTCGTGCAATAAATTTAGTATTGAACTTACACTCATTCAATATCCTCTATTTATGGAATGGAACAATGCAGCAGCAGCAGCAGCAGCAGCAGCAGCAGCAGCAGCAAAGATAAAAACGATGATATTGAAATAAATGTAATCTTATAGACATACAGAAAAGGACGGCTATACGGACGGACGAACCGGGGATTGGACTGAGTGAATGACAAAAATATTAAAATTAAGCTTTGCTTTGACAAAAGCTTTTCATATAATTGCATCAAGTTGTGGGAATGATTTTTTATGTTCTTGTTGACTATGGAAGTTTGGTTCTACCGTTCATTTTTACGGGGGATGGATTGGGGCTTTTGACAGCGTAGTCATATTTGAGGGAGAGAGCTATATTGTCATGGAGATGGGGCCTTTAAGTCGCCTAGTCATAATTGAGCAAGCGAGCTTTTGTCGGGGGGGGATGGGGTTGCTTTTAGCCGCCTAGTCATATTAGTGAGAGGGAGAGAGAGAGAGAGCTTTTGTCGAGGGAGGGAGATTTTAGCCGCCTTGTCATATCTGAGTGAGAGAGCTATTGTTGTGATGGGGGAGGGGCTTTAGCCGCCTAGTCATATTTGAGCAAGAGTGCAAATTGTTTTGTTTGAATGCCATAAAGTAATTTTGTAATTGAACAATGTAATTTTATAATTGAACAAAGCAAAAAGGTCACGGTGGCCTTATATCGCCCACCTGCCTATAAAGGCATTGGATATTACTAATAAAAAGCAAGTACATTTCATGTACTTGGTCAGAATCTGCATTGGTAACTGATATCAGTACTCAATTCTACGTCTGAAATGGTCATCAATATCCAAATATCTGTAAATGACAAAGATGTGATAATTTAAACAAAATTCAATAGTAACCTTGAGGTCAAGGTCATTTCAAGGTCAATATTATAGTTGAACTATTCAAGATGTCCGTCCTGCCATAAATGTATTCAATAACATCTGATCATTGATAACAAAGAAGGCTGAATATCAAAATTCAATAATTTGACTTTAAAATATGTCTTTATTTTTATTATTCAAAGGCAAATAAGCAAATAACTCTTGACATATTCAGTCGTTTTAGCTCATAAATGAACTTGATCGAGATCTTATTGTTATACATATTCTGTATAAAAAATTTAAGAATGCACTAACAAGGTGAAATATAGTGCGATTTTTTGTTGTTGTTGTTGTTGTTGTTGTTGTTTTTGTTAGATTTAGCCTATAATCTAACTTTGTTGAGATTTTATGGTCATAGATATTCTGTTGAAAATTGTCAAGATTGAAGAAGAAATGAAAGCGTTGGAGTGATAAGAATGTGAAATATAACAGATAGTGTAATTAAAGGGCAGATAACTCTCGACATATTGCTTAGGGTATGTGGATGCTAGAGTGGTAACAAGCTAAATTTGGACGGACAGACAGACAGGCGCATACTCAGGTGAGCTAAAATTAATTACACAATAATAACTGATAATAACTGGTCAAAATTAACGAAAATTATATAAACTTTAAAATATGGACGTTATGCGGCAGGACCATGCCTTTCTGCCGCAAAATGTACGTCAGAAAAATGTGGACGATATGCGCCGCAAAACGTCCATATACGTACGTTTTGCGGTACGGACGTTTTGCGGTGTTACACTGCGCAACCGCGCAGTCTGATCAGGATCCATGCTGTTCGCTATCAGTTTCTTTACTGATCAGTCCTGATCAGACTGCGCGGATGGGCAGGCTGGTCTGGATCCATGCTGGTCGCAAACACATTATGTTGGTTTTGTCGTGACACGGCTCATATAAACGTCACGATTATCCAGTGAAAAGTGACGTTACAAACGTGCAGTATTATAAAAGAGTTTTAAATAGTTGAAGTGTTTTGTGGATATATATTTTACACGGACCATATTTACCAGTCATTGTGAAATAATATGTTACATAAAATATTAAGTCCTTAGATAAGAAGAACGATAATTTGTTCTCCAGTGTTTTGCGTTTTAGGAAAATAAAAAGAAGTAATTTCCCTTAAGCTATATTTCGGATAGATTGAATGTACGTGTAAATTAACTTTACTGTACTTAAATGCACTGAATAAATTTAGGTTATTCACAAAGCTGTTTTTGCTTACAATGCAAGTTTACGTCATTTAGATTTTGGATCAACAGTTTTCATACTCAATACATATTTTAAGAAAATGGTGTATATGTTTTGTATTCAAGTTAAGTATTACAACAATGAAATATTGAGAAATATATCAGCGAAGTTTAAGGGAAAAAAACAAAATTGATTTGGTATCAAATTTAACGTAGATCTGTTCATTCGTTTTAATTTGAATTAACATTAAATGCATTTAAACATTTAAATGAGTGTAAGGTTATAAATGAAAATGTTTATATTTGCAATGTAATGTGTAGGACTACATCTCCGACAGATTACAGTCGAACCTGTCTTAAAGAAAACACTTCTTTTAGATCAACAAAATGAAAATTTTAGTTGAATTACTCTTAGCTCGATAAATAATCATACTAAATGGACTTTTCATCTTTCAATCTGGGCAAAACCATTTATAATTTTAAGGGAAAATTTCAAATATGGACTGACTAAATAGTTAACAGTGCAGGCAATGATCAGACGGCACGGCTTATCTTGGTCTGCACTGGTTGCATTGATAAAATCAGTTGGTAGGGGTTTCCTTGCCTTCATGTGTGTATAATTATAAAGAATAAAGATTCTATACTGATGAAACATTGTTCAATGTTACATTTCAACATACACGTTTAATTATAATCATTAAAATGTCATACAAAACATTTAAGTAGTTATATCTATTAGATTTTTATGATACGTCTTATTGACGGAAATATTAATCGATTGTTTAAAGGTTATAGAAAAATGACATAACTAATGGTTAAAGAAAATAATCAAAATTATTTAAAAAAATATAGAAAGCGCATCGAAACACGAGGCTATCAGATTTGTACGAGAAGGCGTAGCCCCTGAGTATAAATCAGATTGCCGAGTGTTTGATGTTCTTTCTCTTTTGTATCATAGTCAAACATAAAAACACGTTCCCTGTTGTCTCAATATAAAACTCCAGAAAAAAGTTACCAATGAACAAAGAAACACTTTGATATATTATTGTTTTGTTGTTGTTTTTTCTCTTCAAGATATTAACATTTTAATGTTTCATAGTATTAATGTATCATAGTATCGAGCCAACAGAGTGATCCAAATGATTCGGTGTCAGCGTTCTTAAACCCTTAACCATGGCAGTCATTCACAGGCCAAATATTGTATTTAATGTTTTACCTTCGAAACCGATCCAAACGTACGCACCATCATCGGTAGACGAGGTGTTCATAGTAACCCATATATCTCCTCCTGTCAACACGGTTGACGTAATATTAAACATTGTTGAATTCGACTCGTTATAAACCGTCGAGTCTGCTTGGTTTGCAACAGTTAACGTCTGTCCGTACAGACGTACATCTAGTGTGTACATCGTTATATCGGCTGCTGAAGTCACGTGACATGTACATTTGTTGATATCGGCTGAAATATTTCTACCCGGATATTCCGGACTCTGAATATACACTGTCGAACCCGTGTAAGTCTGATCTGAACACATATTCCGTATTTTGGACTCTAAAATATAAAATGAAAATCGTTATTAATGAAATGTACATAATTTTTTTTTCATTGAAAAACGTCCGGTCTGAATAAAGAAATAGGTATTCACTTTTATATTTTAGGGGGAAAATGCATCAAAATTAGCAGTATTTTTATCATTTGCTGTTCGAGTGTTCGTGTACATGTTTAAAAAACACTCATTAGATTGATTTAAAAAAAAAGTGCTGAACTATTTATGAGTCACTATATACACATTAACGTACAAAAATAAACAGAATTAATATTCATATAAATTATTTATAAGTACATACCACTACATATGAAATGTATTGCTTACAGAATGCATGTATATCAAGGAATTGCTCAAACATAAAAGTGTATTATTGTATTATTTAAAAGAAAAGTGTGATTAGCCTCGTTTTAGTAATAGAAAGAGCATCGAAACACGGGGCTATCTGATTTGTACGAGGGGGGCGTAGTCCCACGAGTATTAATCAGATTGCCGAGTGTTTTGATGTTCTTTCTCTTTTTTATCATAGTCAAACATAAAAACACGTTCCCTGTTGTCACAATATGAAACTCCAGGAAAAAGTTACCAATGAACGAACGTCTGAATATGATATTTCTATCGCTTTCTCTTTCTCTGCTGTCACAATAAGTAAACCCCAGCAAAAATGAGCCAATCAATGGGCATGCTCTGGAGTGCGGGTAACTAATACCTGCACTCCAGTTAACGCATTGTGCATGTATATGTATACGATTTAACTCTGACACATTTTCAACAGAAAGATCCCCACACTATGAATCAGTGTAAATTTATTACCCACCTTGAATGCACGAAAATTCCATGAACATATAATTTGTATTTTTCATATACTCTGCAGTGCTATTGTCACAGTCTGTCTGGGCCCATACGGTCTCTGCTGATTTGATGCATTCTGCGTACCCGGAGCATAGATTGTGGTACTTATACTTTTCAGGTATGAACGATCTGAAAAAAGTTAAGTGCGAACATTTGATACAAAGTTATCACAGTTTTACAGTTTAGTTCAGAAATCATACTGATCAGCTAATAAAAGTTTGACCTGGAGGTAATTTTGTCATGATGGAAATAAATTGGACACGTCTCTAAAACTTTAAAATAAGCAGACTTTGTAAAACTTATAAAATATATGGAAAGCAACTGTTGAAGGCAAACTTTATCTTTTTAATACTTGGTTAGCAGTTTCTAAAAACAGATCTCAACAAACACGACGAATCAATTTTTAAAATATAATTATCTTAAAGAACATAACAGAAGAACTAATTTGCTGTATATGATGTGCAATCAATCGGATGTATTCGGGTAAATTAATCTCTTTCCGAATTATATATCTATCATAAAAAGATATATTGGACAAAAGTATGTGTAAAAATTGTTTGATAAGATGTTAACTATAACAAATACATTCGGGTTTCCTCAAATTTTTTACGGATTCCGTATTCATCTAGAAAAGATAAATTTAAACAAAGATGCGGGTACCAAGTGCATATACATTCGGACAACAACGTAACTTTTCGGATTATATTTTTTACATATGTATCGCGTGCTACACATGTGATCTTTGTACGGAAATTAAAATGGCGAATGATACCGAGTTTTCACGAATTAGTACGAGTGCTCTCCCGTTAATGTTTCAGAGTTTTGTACGTAAATGAGAACATGACATAGTGTCATGACATGACGACCTTAGACATACATGACGACCTTAGCACATGTCTTTTTTCCGATTAAATCTTTACATTTGTTGTCTGGAGGAAAAAAGCTACACAAGTAATTACTTATACATCAATTCCAAGTAATCTGTAAAAGTCAATCTCTTTAAAAACACTTTATGCGTTTATCCTTTTAAAAACCAATAAAAACGTATTACAGTATATTTGATTATAGAGAGCTGTTTCATGTTTGTTCTGAAGGGAACATATGTTTATCTGGCATAATCTTAATACCCGGAATGGTCGTTGACACATTTGTTACATACATTACGTTTTAAAGGGACTCCACTGATGATTTTTGACATGACAGGACTGGAAATATTTTTCTGATATTTGTGTATCAACTGATGTAAGTCTGGATCAATAAAAAGTGTGCAATTGTGTCATTCCCACACCTCGTTCTTTTGGGGATTTTTGGTGGGTTTTTTTTGCTTCATTTTCCTTCAGAATCATTGGTATTGTGCAAAATGGCCACAAAATTTCCCCTAAATCCGGCGAATTTTTCAAAAATCGATTTTCATTTTTATCATGAGTATTTTCTATATTATCCTTAACAGATTCTTCCATTTTATGTCTTCACTTGGTATCTATAAGATTTTGAAATTTCTTTTTGTATGTCCTTTGACCCTCAGTAGAGTCCCTTTAATTACGATAAATGACCTTGGTTTAGGTATGGAATTAGTTAAAATAAATTTAACTCCAATATGTTACCGTATCTAAGCAAACTGTGACGACGTCAATTGATTATGACATAGAAAAACTGACCTGAAATGTCACATAAATTGAACGTGACAAAGAAAATATACTCTCCCGATGCAAAATCATTATTCCATATTCTTTTAAAGAATTATATAATGACGGAAGTAAGGACATAACTAAATGGATGCTAAAAGAAATACATGTATAAATCCAATCAACCAGTCTATATTACGCTCCTTTTTCGAAATTTCCAGATAAGTGATACAAGCTGGTAAATCTAAATTCAAATAAACTCCATTTATAACATTATCACCAATAACGAAATATCGCTTATCACGATGTTGTTGCCGCAGTCCGGACTCTTTGTTTTCACATTGGTTGACTCTCGGATATAACGATATCCGGATATACCG